CTTCTGAAGCTGCTGCCCCCGCGACCCGACCCCGGATAGGCGGAAGAAAATGGATGGATGGATGTATGGATGGGATGGATGGAACAGGAAATCCCTTACAATTGGTATATATAAACTGCCTGAAACTACAGAAGTCATAAGAAATTATTTTGTCTAACATCCAGTGAAAACAGAGACCCTGAATTGCAAGTGTTGTTTTAAATAGGCTTCACATTGAACAGGGCAATAAAGAGCCCTGTGCTTTCAGCTGGGGTGCTGCACAGGTCCTTATGCTGCATCAGACCACATCACAGCCTAACGACAAACACAACATGAGAAAAAAGAAGAAATTCGGAACTACAAAGAAAAAGCCGTTCCAGCGTACCTCTTATTGAAGGGCTTCTCATGCTTCTCATAGGGTTTGATGAACCACTTGCCAATGCGAACAAAGCTGCGATTCATGAGGCAGCGCTCCAGCAAGTTGTGGATTGCTTTGAACAGCAGAGTGCGACATTCATAGGAAAGGCCGTTCTCCCACAGACCATCATCCTCGGCTAAAAAACAGAAAAGAAACAAGTTCAAATGTGTTAAAGGGCACCTATTATGCAAAACTCACTTTTTCATGTTTTTAAACTTACTTTTGGGTCTCTACTGCTTAGAGAAGCAGTCCAAACACCAAAAAAATGCACCCAGACTTTTTTTTTGAGCTGTAATTACATGTATTTTTAGGTATCTGGAAACATGGTATTTCTCAAAGCATGTTATTCTGACGTCACAATAACAGTCACCTAGCAACCTAAATCAGAGTACTGCTCCTCACGATGCAACCCAAGGTGAAGCTCCGCCCACTTCCTCGTGGGACGATAGTTGTGCTGTTTTACTGGGGGTTTTTTTTGGGCAATATATTTTTTAAACACAACACTGGTACTCTGACTGGTATAACAGTGTTAAGACTCTGGGAGCAGATTGGATTGTTCTTTGCCAGCCACACGGAGATGACATAAATGCCATGACTGAGTGTGTGACTGACTATATAAACTTCTGTGTGGACAACACCATCCCCAGCAGAACATTGAGATGCTTCCCTAATAACAAACCCTGGATCAGTGAGCTAAAGGAACTTTTAAACAAGAAAAAAAGAGCCTTTAGGGATCGAGACAAGGAGTGATTGAGGAGTATACAGAAGCAGCTCAAAGTCAAGATCAGAGACAGCAAGGAGCTTTATAAAAGGAAGCTGGAGAGTAAACTGAAAAGGAACAATATCAGAGATGTGTGGTCAGGGATGAAAAAGATCACAGGTTTCAGGCAAAAGGAGAATCAGATGGATGGAAGTCTGGACAGAGCAAATGAGCTGAATACATTCAACAGGCTCAGCTCAGGAACAAGCTCATCTTCCTCCTCTCCTGCCCCCAGCCAAACAGACATCTCACCCTCCTTTGACCCACAGCTTTCCTGTCAAACCTCAGATGTTTCATCTTCAACCTCAGTCATGGACTTTTCTTCTACATCCACAAGTTTGTCTTCAACTAAATCAGGAGATGCTGCTGCTCCCTTTCCCTCCCCCTCCCACTTTTCTGTATCTAGAAGTCAGGTGAAGAGGCAGCTAGAAAGACTGAACCAGAACAAGGCTGCAGGTCCAGATGGTGTTAGCCCCAGAGTCCTGAAGGCCTGTGCAGACCAGCTTTGAGGGATTCTGCAACACCTCTTCAACCTTAGCTTGACCCAGGAGAAGGTGCCAGTGTTGTGGAAGACATCCTGTCTGGTTCCAGTACCAAAGAAAACTCACCCATCAGCCCTCAATGACTATAGACCTGTTGCCCTGACATCCCACATCATGAAGGTCCTAGAGAGACTCCTGTTGACCCACTGAGTAAGCAAACAAGCACACATCAGGACCCCCTGCAGTTTGCTTATTGTCGTGGAGTTGGAGTTGACGACGCCATCATACACCTGCTTCAACAAACCCACTATCATCTGGACAAAGCAGGCAGCACTGTGAGGATCATGTTCTTTGATTTCTCCGGTGCTTTTAACTAGGGGTGTCCCGATCCGATATTGATATTGGATATTGGTCCGATATCAGCCAAAAACTAATATCGGATTTTATCGGCCTGCATAAAAAATGTCYGATATAAGCGCTCCGATATAAGCAGTTTAATCCAGCAGTCCAYTGACTCCGCTCCAGTGTTTCTATCCAGCAGCGCTTGGATCCAGCGTGCAGACCCCACGTGATCACAACAGCAGAGCAGCAGGCTAACAACAGCAGAGCAGCCAGTGGGCTAACAAGAAAGTAGCAAGGAAGAGCACTGATGTCAGCGGTGTGGCAGTATTTTTCGGTCAAATCTGAAAAAGACGTTGCTGCCGAGTGCAAAACATGTAATGCGCAAGTTCTCTGTGGTGGGACAGAGCAGCAACCAATCAGCAAGGGTTTCATTGACTGACCAATGAGAGGAGAGTATGCTACACACTGCCGTTAGCTAACACTTTCACCAAGTGATTACTAAAAAGCTTTGTGGGAATTTATTGGCACCAGGGTGAAGTTTATGGTAAGTTTTTCCTCATAAAACTGTATGTGTGTTTGTTTTTCAATATCATTAGCATTGCAAGATTTGTTTAGTTTACACGTCCGTAATGCACACCTGCCTTCACAGTCAAGAACCAATCAAATTTTGTGAAAACAAGCGACCTGAGAGTGCGATTCGCAACGCTGCGATCGCTATTGCGTCCCGTGTGTCGGGTTTCACCGTGGCTGCGATGACAGCCGTTAATCGCTGTAGTTTGTCGCTGCCCGTGTGTCGAGCCCTTAAGTGATGCTCTAGCAGCATGAACCTTTCAGCAGCATGAACCGTGATGTCAGTGAAGCTGATGACAACCATGTGACTATCTCAGCCAATCCGAAATTTGTAAAGTCAGGACAAGAGATAACATTTTTTTTATTATTAAGAGAGTACGAAAACAGCAGCAAGAGAGAAAGGACAGGAGTTTCAGGTTCTTCATTCCCTTCGGGGACATTTTATTTGAATTTTTTTTTAGTTTACTTTTTGTAGTGTAGGGACGAGATTTGTTCGGGAAACTGAACTGACCAGAACTTCAGTTCGATCCACACGGGACCCGAACCGACCTCCTCATCACTAGCCTGAAGCAGACCCCAGACCGTCTCGGTGCATCCAAGCTGTACCCACACGGGACCCCCTTTGAGACCGAGCGGCACCGGTGATTCATCCTTGCTCGGACCTCCTGGTACCCTGGGACAGAACTGACTGGTTCGCATCGAATTGGTAGGAAAGAACAGCTTTCTATGCTTTGGTGGTGTGTACAGCTGAAGCGGTGAGAGAGAGAGAGTGTTCTGGGTAGCTATGATCGGATTGAAGGAAGAGCTGGCAAGTTGATTCCCCTTATAATTCACGTCCCCTCTTGATAAATGAATTAACACTTTCTTTTATTAATCTGGGAAGTTTTCACTCCTTTTGTTAGAATAGATAATAGTGAGTTATGATTTTGTAGCGTAAATTTACTAGAAGTGATTGGCTGAAGTGATGTCATTTGTTATATTAAATTCATAGCAGTTGTGATAGCAAACATCTTTACTTACCATACATGACTTGTGATGTAATTTTTCTCTCTGAATCCACAATATAGGGTAAATTGTGAAATTTATGCTTTGTCTGTGCGTCTTTTATTCGTGTTTTACCATCATAAAACTGAAAAGCGCTCCGTCCTTCAGTACATGAGATTAAGTCAAAATTACGAGATTAGTTTCCTGTTATAATTGACAGGTGGTGCCCCAAATTCTTTTTCATGTTAATAAATTATATGAAAAATTATAATTTAGCAAAGTTTCATTAATTRCAATTCTCTCACTGCTTACAGACTTCAGGACCCGCCCTGCTCAACTCTGATTGGCTGAAACTGTGACTCTGGTTCTCTTTATTGGTTAAAAGCAGCGTTAGTCAAATCCAGCCTGATAGAAGTCCCCAACAACACACTTTTTTTTCTCCTCAATTTTAGGAAATCCAGAGGGGAGACGAAGAACTTAAATCTGTCCTGCCAGACAAAACTTAAGACCCTTGAGTAACGCATTCAAGAAACTTACACATTATTTATAAATTCAATAATTTTGAAGACCCTTAAGTTTAGAAACATAAATATAAGATGTTTCAAGACTTTTCAAGGACCCGCTGACACCCTGTTGAATAATCTCAATATCCAGGAAAATATCTGATACTCTGCAGCATTTTTATGATATGAGTCAATAAATAAAATTAGCAGCAAAATATTTGGAGGTACAGCTGAAACTGACTGCACTACACCATTTACACTGTTTATCTGTGATAGTCAAACTGTTTTTATTTTTATGTCCCAAAACAATGCATCAACAGAGCAAATTCCCCTAATTTTGTTTTCTGAATTAGTGAGGCTCCACAGGACCTGTGCCATCTTGGCAGGTTAAAAAGGCTTGTTCTAACTGAACACTGATGAAAAAGGTGCATCTTAATTCAAACGGAGTAATATGTCCCCAGCCTCACTAAGCCCAAATCCTGCACTTTTGTGACATAGCAGCTTAAAAGTTAGCTATTAAATCATTATAAACAACTAAAAGGGAAAACAACCTCAGGCTAGCTGCCAAGAAGTATGAACTACAAYGCCAACAATTTTGAGAAAAACCAATTCATATGGTGCAAACATATCCTGAGAACACAGACAAGCAGATCAAAGGCAGTATAATATAACAGTGTATTTAACAGTATAAAGCCATTTAACTTGGTTAAAATTAAGTTTGTGAACTGATCAATCCTAAACYTTTTTTTAAAATGACGCTATAGTTAAGTAATTTAGCAGCTGGTGTAGCCACCCTGTGACACATGGCAGGCAGGAGGGCAAAAAAAGTCTACAAGCAAAGTAAGTTAGCCTCTTGGGGCTCACATGAAGCACTGAGAAAAAGGAGAGGAGGAGAATAGGTCAAATTCATTGATTCAAAAGTAGACTTTATGTCTGATAAATTTCAACAGAATGGGAAGTGTGTCTCGTGACAAGACAGGCATCAAATCTACAGTTAAACCATCAACACTTCTACAGTCCTGTGTGGTTCCACCAGTAAAACCTGGCAGACACCCTCCCTACATCCACCTAGATTCCCTGCCAAGACATCTGCCCCGAATCTAGGCCTCCCAGTCGCTTGTTGTACCCTGGCCCCCTCCCTTCAGCAAGCAGCAGCAATGAAACAGGCATCTGGTTTCCATCAAGTGTTCCTAACAACCTTGTGTTGACTCTCCGAGGTCCTCAGTAACCCTCTCCAACACAGACAGACACAAATGATGCAGCAGCCAGGAGAAAGCTTTTGTTCACATAATGTCAATAGAAATGACAATACTGATTAAAAAAAWTTTGATTTAAAAGTGTGGGAAAAATAAAAGCTCAAGCATCCAAGGTAAGTGTGACTGCTGGGAAAATTGTACTTTACAGATTTTAATTGGTGTGTGTTGATTTATTTTTGTAAAATAAAAGTACACATCACTGCTACAAACACTACCCAAGGTTGCTACTGCAGGTTGGT